TAATCCTATCTAGCTCCCATGGAGATGACACCCAATAGAAAGAAAATAGATTAACCATAAAAAAGACAGGGTCGGCTACTGAAGTTGCTTAAAGTTGCACCAGGTGCAAGCCATAAATTGTCAACAGGCCTGAAAGCCAAAAGATATTATACATAGAGATTAACCATAAAAAAGGCCCTAATAGGCACAGAGCCCTTTGGGGGGTGAGGAAGCCCTATTAGAGAATACAAAAAATATTGTTTTAAAAAGTGGTTATTGGATCAACGTCTGATTGATGTTAATGTGCTGAGGTTGTGCAGTGGAAACCATTGTTAATATAGTTGGAGATCGAGAAAAATAAGAGTTTAGCCCTAGTGTAAAAACAATAAGAGAATTGCTAATTTTAACCAGGAGTGCTAAACAGGGGCTCCCTCACCAGAGCCGCAGACTCTTTGTGTGCTGAACTTTTTAGATAAATTTAGCTGAGAACTTCTGCAAAAAGACTGACTTTTATGTTAACAGGATTGTATTTCTATTATGTTGCAACCTGCTGTACTGTGAGACTGCCACTTTTCTGTTTTCTGCTGAGCTCGAGGCCAGAAGATAATGTGCAAAAAATCTATGGGAAAGACTCTCATAAACAAAAATATACAGAGCACACCTGTATATTTTCGTGAAGGACAAGCTGATGTAACGTTAAACTAAGTCTGTATGCTTATCTGCCCCTTAGAAATGTACTGACTTAGGGTATAAAGGCTATGGTGAAAAATAAAGCAACTGCCAGACTCTGCTGCATATCCTGGTCTGGCCTCTCTCTCTCTCTCTCTCTCATTCACCGATGCCGTTCATCCTGATGGTTCCCCTGGATCCTGCTGCGGCTGGACCCCGGCAGTTCAGCTCTAGTCAACTGGTCTGTTTTGGACATACAAGGCTCCTTCCCCAAGTCTTACCACCATCCAGTTCATAAACTTGGCCACATCCTGTCCCACCAGCTTGGTGTAGCCCGCAGACACTGGATAATGCTGCTGGGCCCGTGACAGCCAGTCCACCACGATGACGTTGGAGTCCGGTTCCCTCTTGTACAAGGCAGCCACAAGTTTTGGCACCCAACTCTCATACATGCCTGTCACCTGAAGAGGACGATACAAGCATCCTTAAAATGCCCACTTACAACTTGTTATATTAATACATACATATGTCAACCCCATACATTAAATGGGGGGAAAAATCCATAGGAAGCCCATTGGCTCATCAGTAAAACTTCAATAATTTATAGTATTGAAACGAAAGATCAATTTGAATAAGTTAAAATTTACAGTATAATGACAGACTATTTTAAAAGAAATTTAGTTTAAATACTTTCAATTGGGTTAATAAATATTTCCCAACAGAAATATTTTGGGGAATGTGAGTATCCTTTATTCTTTTTTTTTTTCATTTTCTTTTTTCAATTTTTAATTAGAAGATAACTACTTTACAATATTATGATGGCTTCTACTATACATCAACATGAATCAGTCATAGGTATATAGGTCCCCCCACTTTGAACCCTCCCACCTCTCTCCCCATCACACCCCTCTAGGTTATCACAGAGCACTGGCTTTGGGTTCCTTGTGTCATATATCAAACTCTCACTGGCTATCTGTTTTACATATGGCAATGTATATGTTTAAATGCTTTTCTCTCAAATCATCCCACCCTCTCATTCCCCCACTGTGTCCAAAGTCTGTTCTTCCTGTCTGCGTTGCCTTTGCCGCCCTGCAAGTAGGATTGTCATCTTTGCTGTCTTTCTAGATTCCACACCTTTACTCTTATGAAGGGTTATTTACATACAAAATTTGATGTGATAATGAAAAAAATAGTTTTAAACATACTATTCTAACAGAAGGTAATTTTATTTAGCAATCTCTTAATACATTAGAAAATTATTAGTTTCAGCTCAGACTTTTTCAACATCCTTTCAAATTCTTGATTGTCAGAGTACAAATTAATGAGGTTTAATTATCAAATTTCCAAAATTATGAGACTGGTTTTGTTTTGGAGATAAGCAAACTGCCATCTGTAATTCTTTGCTTCTTGTTGATAAAGGCCCCCAAATTCAAAGTGAAAAGATTTATGCCATCAAAGAGGAGACACTGAACATCTTGGCAAATATGCTTATTTTAAAATAATGGAACACATTGAAAAAAAATACAGATGACAAAATTTCATGCCCTCCTGCCAGGAGCCCATACACAGCAAAAATCTGTTTTAAATCTACCCACCCCTAATACAACCTAAGAGCTGATCATACTGTAGCCCTAGTAAATGTTATGACTCAACAGACAAAGAAGATTCTGAAATAAATGTCTTAGGCTGCTTTTAAGGGGAAATCTGGAAAACCTGTATTCTTCTTAGATTAATGCCAATAGAAAAAATAAGACTCTTGAATTCCCAAACCAAGGGACTTCATTTGAAACTTCGATCTTAGATGGTGAGTCCTTTCAGATCTGCTTCCTTTATTATTATTATTTTTTTGTATTTGTTTTCTTTTTTTAAAATTAATTTACTTTTTATTTATTTATTTTAATTTACTTTTTAATTGGAGGATAATTGCTTCTTAATATTGTGTTGTTTTCTGCAATATATCAACATGAGTCAGCCATATACTTCCAATTCTGTTTAATCTATTTTGTAGGATAAAATATTAAAACATGAACTCTTGATTCACGCCTGACACAAACTGGACAAATTTTCACCACATTGCTGTGCTCTGTGGAAGGAAAAAGCAAGCCTGGGACTCAGGAGATGTTGGTTCCAATCCCAGTTCTTCCCCTAATTACGTCTATGAACATAGGCACTGTTTTAATCTTACCAGGGCACCTATGAAACAAAGAAATCAGATGATCTGGAAGTTACTCTCCACTCCTAAATGTCTTCTTGTGATCACTTTGGTTCCCAATCTACTTGCAGTGATAAAACACCAGCTCTATAAGCTATATGGAAACAGTGACAGACTTAATTTTCTTGGGCTCCAAAATCACTGTAGATGGTGACTGCAGCCATGAAATTAAAGGATGCTTGCTCCCTGGAAGAAAAGCTATGACCAACCTAGACAGCATATTAAAAAGCAGAGACATTACTTTGCTGACAAAGGTCTGTCTAGACAGAGCTATGGTTTTTCCAGTAGTCATGTATGGATGTGAGGGTTGGACTATAAAAAAGCTGAGCACCAAAGAATTGATGCTTTTGAACTGTGGTGTTGGAGAAGACTCTTGAGAGTCCTTTGGACTGCAAGGAGATCAAACCAATCAATCCTAAAGGAAATCAGTCCTCAATATTCATTGGAAGGACTGATGCTGAAGCTGAAGCTCCAATACTTTGGCCACCTGATGCAAAGAGAAAAACCACGCATTAGAAAAGACCCTGATGCTGTGAAAGATTGAAGGCAGGAGCAAAATGGGACGACAGAGGATGAGATGATTGGATGGTATCACCGACTCGATGGACATGAGTTTGAGCAAGCTCTGGGAGATGCTGAAGGACAGGTAAGCCTGGCGTGCTGCAGCCCATGGGGTCACAAAGAGTCAGACATGACGGAGTGACTAAACTGCAACAACGACCCAACAAAGGACTGGAAAACAAGGACCCATCTTCTTCAGCTCCAAAGAGGTAATATTTCCTAGCTTTTTTCCTTCTCGGTTTCCTTAAAGCAGTACTAATTTTTAATGGCTTTGATTCACAGGCACAGCTGCACTAGAAGTCTTCCTTGCCACCTGCACCAGTTGGTCCCACTGAAGAAGCCAGGTTGTTCACTGAAATGCCTAGATGCATAGATCACCTAGTTCTGCACAATGAAACTCAGTCCCACAGAATATAAGTGGTCTTATTAAGCAGTGGGGCTAATATAGAGATTACCACTATCTACTGATACTGGGTGAATCATGTCATCTTAGTGTGAGGAGGAAATATTTTTCAAAAATTCCTAAATTACAACATTCTCTCAAAGACAAGTTGAGATACCTGAGATATTTATTTCTGTCATATGAATGTTAAGCTTAAACTTTTTTTAAAAGTATTAAAAGCTAAGCTCTAACTATAGCCAAAATGTGTTTAAAATAACAAAAAATTATATTTTCCAATATAAACCTCTTAAAACGTAAAAAGGTCTATGTCAGAAATTTGAAAATGTAACTTTATCATAAGATATATAAAATGCTACCTGAACTCTAGCAAATAGATGTGTTTTGTTAAAATAAATATTCCTGTGAATTCCGTTAGTTGTTGCCTTCATCTTTATAAAAGTAATAACAATTGCCCTACACTGTCAATAACAAAGGCACTTAAGTTATGTAGGAAAAAAAAATCAGGAGGAGAAATAGCAACCATTAGCAGATTCACTTCTTCATTAAAGTTAAGTATCTATTACCACATTCACAAACTCTGGACATAATGGAAAGATAATATTTCTTTAAGCATCAATTTTATCTAAGTTCTTTTTAATAAGCTATAAAAATCAGCTCATTAAGGATTGAAAATATTGAAAACAAACTAGTTAAGTAAGAACAATACCATGTGAAGGGACTAGCTGGTATATTTAAAGAGAGCTACTTTTTTCATATTCTTGAAAAATAAATATAAGCAGTTTTCACCTTTCCTAATCATCTTGCATGACAGTTCCCTGGCTAGCCCTCTTTCATCTCTAGAAAAGTTCCTTAAGTTTATAGTTGGAGAATGTTGGGAGGGGAGGGAGGTCTAGTCTAAATTCATTTTTTTAACAGAGCAGTAAACTGAGGCCCAGTAGTAAGAAGTGGCTGGATCCAGTCACAGAGCTAGAGAATGGCAAAGCAGAACAGAAACAGTCTCTTCCCTCCACCCCAGCCCACTCTTCACTCTCACAGGTCATCTTCCTTAGGAAAGGACTTGGGTGAGGCGCCGGATGAATCAGGACCACGCCAGGTTTCCACCGCTTCCTCTGACCTGCACTCTGCTCTGTACTTGAGCAAAGGCTAGGGGAATGGCCAGTTTGAGGTCACAGCTAGGTACCATGGTAAATTGAAGGCTAGCACTGTCCAGAGGAAGTACCCATGAACTTGTGGCTTTTCTTATACACTTTTCAAAAATTTATTTTTAATTGAAAGATAATTGCTTTACGGTATTATGTTGATTTCTGTGAAATGTTAACATGAATCAGCCATAGGTACCTATGCTCCATCTCTCCTGAACCTCCATCCCACCTCCCTCCCTACCCACTGCTCTAGGTTGTTGTAGAGCCTCGTGTGAGTTCCTGAGTCACATAGCAAGTTCCCATTGGCGATCTATCTTACATATGGTTATGTCTGTGTCCATGTTACCCTCTCCACACACCCCACCCTCTCCTTCCTCTCTCACCCATGTGCATACGTCTGTTCTCTATGTCTGTATCTCCATTGTTGCCCTGCAAATAATTTTATCAGTACCAGCTTTCTAGATTCCATATATATGCATTTTTATCTTTCTGACTTCCTTCACTCTGTATAGTAGGCAACTTGTGGCTTTAGAATCCTCAATCCCCACCTGAGCCAGAACTGCTTTTATTCCAGTTTAAAGCAAAGCCATCACTGGGTTCCCATCACTGGGCTCTCAACAAGCCTGTTAAAAGGCTTAGTTCATGCCATTCTACTCCTTCCTAAAGAGCCTTCCTTACCGTCCAGCCATGGATCACCACAAAGGTTTTGCTGCTGTGGTTGAAGTGACAGTTGGCCACAGACTCCGTCACTCCAGGAATGAGGTGGCAAGTGTCCTCAGCGGTGTCTTCAGGAGTCCTGAGAGCAAATTTACTTTCAATGTCTCTAAAATCTTTTCCTCCTGTAATCCCTGAAAAGGAAAAATTGGATAGGAGGTTAATTAGGGGGTGGTTTGTTCTATTTGCTGGACTAGTGTGTTTTACATTCACAAGCAAATACCACTAACGCTATTTTTGTTTCTAAAGTAAAAAAGAAAGAAAGAAAGTGGATTGCAAGAGAATGATTGATTCTCCAGCGGTACTCAGAGTTGACACTGCTCCAGCGCTCAGTTGTATCTGACACTTTGCAGAGGATAAGATAGTCGAATGGCATCACCAACTCAATGGACATGAGTCTGAGCAAACTCCAAGAGATAGTGAAGGAAAGGGAAGCCTGGCAAGCTGTAGTTGTTGGGGTCACAGAGACTCGGACATAGTGACTGAACAACAAAAACGAACAACAACAAAGCTTTTTTGAGGGAAGACTGTTTCCTTTTCACTAGCATTATTTTTAAAAATTTTAACAAGAAGAAAAGTTGGAAGCATGGGGAAATTTTGAATGGAATAATTCTTACCCACATAGAAAGATATATCAGTTCAAAATTGCTTTAAAAGATCCTTTAGTGATTTGTTCAGAAATATCTGTTATGTATGAATCATGATTAATTCTTTCCCCCAATATTTCTTTTCTCACTTATGTCTTTACAGACTTCCACACAAAGCCGACGCTTAAAATACTACAGCAGGGGTGGTTTTGGAAAGAATCCATTCTTCATTATTAAGCCCAGACTGAATCAGGAGAGAAAGAAAACTTTGGCCTATTTTTGAACCTCTGGACAATACTTCTAAATGTTGATGAATTGTCACAGGGTATTTGTAGGAAGTACATACAATATCACAGTAACCATTTTAAGTAAATTTTAAGTAAATTGTATTGCAATTTACTTTTGATTTTGCTCAAGAAGTTCTTTTACTGTTAGAAACTGCCTTAGAAAATTTCAAACTAGGTTAGTTTCACCCACATCACTCTGTATCAAATAACTTATACTTCCCCTCTTAACAGTCTTATTTTAACATGTTCGATCAGCAAGCTTTTTAAAGCAGAAATAACCTGAACAATCTGGCAGACAGATCTCACCTACCACCTGGTTGCCAAACTAATTATTTAAGATTATTGCTCTGCATAACTCCAGAGGATAACAGTCACTTTTAGTCTGTTTTTTTTTCTAGAATTATGCAACATGTGACCCTAGAGTTGCTGGTGGTTTTGAAATGACTAAGAATATTCTTTGAAATTATTAAGTCAAGATTTGTATATTTCTATGAAAAAGAAGTCTATTCAATCTTTAACTCTTGTACCAGATTACCAAATGGATCACTCAGAGCTCCAATTTCCCACAGCCATCATTTTCTATGGTGTGCATAGCTTGTAAAGAAAAATAGAAGAAAATTCATACATTTGCAAGAAAATTTGTATTTGGAAACTTTTGTTTCGCTTTTCATGGATTTTTTTTTTAAGTTACAGAAAGCATAATGAAGTCTTTGACAAGAAAACAGTACCCCTCTATATGTTATGTGATGTTTTCAATTCTTTGTCTATTCTATATATGAAATTATAGATGCAGCTGGTGTTTAATCAGTCTTTCCCTCTCCTTGGTGTTCTGACACACACCAAGGGTACTTCCACATACCTGGTTGTTTGTAATCCCTTAAGGATGTCTTGGCAATCTAAAGATGAGTGTGCTCTCCCAACTTCTACCAGCCCTCATGCAACTGACTTAGGCCAGGAAGAGTTAGGGAGAAGAATGAACCCTGACTATGGGTCAACAGTATGTTTAGTCATCGTAATATATACACTGGGATTGCTCCTGGCTGGCAGATGAACTGATTTGACTCAATTGCTACTAAGGAAATTATTGTTTTTTATAAATGGAAATGATACTAAAAGGACATTTCACTAGATCCCCTTAAGTAAAGCCACCTTAGAATAGTGTGTGTTACAGGTGCAGTTGCCTAAGTTTTAATCCTTTATAAGGGCCTCTGTTCTGAATTTGACTCATCATATTAGTAACATCACACCATTAGATGTGTCCTCATCAAACACTAAGGAGAGACTTGGGGGCATCAGGTAAGTTACAAGTCAATGCATTTCTTGACTATATAATTTTTATCTCTTAATTCCTAAATAAATAACAAAAAATCTAAGTGTGTCAACAAAGGCAAGGAGTTATCTTAATATAGATAATAAATCACAGAGATGAAATTAGGTCAAGTCAAAACCCTTTAAAGGTAAACTTATAGAAGGTACTTTATAGGAGGAGCATTAAGCATCCCAGCAAAGTGACTCTAAAGGCAATTCACAGTTATCAGATAAATAAGATTAACATTTATATGAAGACATGAGGTATATGAGCTCAATTATAATGCCATTCTCTCAAAGTTTTTACTTGCTTCCTTTCTCTGTTTTTCCTCTCTGACACACACAAACATACCCTCCTAGAGAATTTCATCAGTAATGATGAAGGCTGATGGTCATAGTTATTGACTCAGCTTCTATAGAATGCTGACTCCCCCCAAAAAAAGGTTTGGGGGAAAGAAAATCAGTGTTGTTATCTGATTGAATTGATTGGAGTTTTCAGACATTCCAATGTAGACAAGGCGCTTGCTTACCTAACAAGCAGATTTACTTTCCAATTTTATAGAAAGAAATGTTTGCAAAAATAGCAGCTGTAAACTCTACAGCTTAATTTCTCCTGAAATAAAGCAAGAAAGGAGGGTTGAGCTAGAAATACACCGCCAGAAAGAAAGTGAACGTTTCCTACTGCCAAATCTTCCCGTGCCAGACTCCCACCTTTCCATACAGTAATCGGTCACGCTCTTGCTGAGCTCTGCTTCATCTGAAGGTGCTATGTGCTTTTTTTGCTGTCATCACTCAGCATGTTTAACTCAGATATTAGCCTAGAAACTCACTATGGCCAGTCAAACAGACTTGTAGCTACCGAGCTCTTCAAATTTCCTAAGGAGGCCATGCAGAGATTGTTGTGGCTCCAAGAAAAAAAGAGCCTGAAGGCAGTGCCCATATCCTTATATTTTTCTTAGAAATCGAAAATGGAGAAGTATAGTCAGAGCCCAGAGGTGGTGGTACTTACCATTCCCTCCTCACACTTATTCCTTTCTACTCTGAATGTCCTACATTCCTACCTAAATTAGTTTGGAGGAGAAAGAGGGCAGAGAGTTGCTGTGATAGGAGAGGCATAATATAAAGAGGGGATGGGGGTTAGAGTGAGAGTGGGAAGGAAGGATGAGGGGTATTAATTTCAAGTCCATTTCCAAATGATTCCTCCTTTACAAAGCATTTATAGCTAGGAAAAACATAGATTGATTAAAATCCAATTTAATTCCTTAATCACTTATGTCCATTTGCATCGAAAAGTAAGGAATTAAAGGGTGTAAGAGGATTTTGAGTCTGGTCTAAATTCCTCATTTTAGGGCTCAGGAAACAAAACCCAGAGAGGTGACACTGACTAGCCCAGTAATTTAGGGTCCTGAATCTCTCAGGGACTCTGACAAAAACTTTAAAACTGTGAATGACACTTATGTGTGTGTGTTCTTGGTCTAAGTAACATTATCCTGTGATGTACTTTCTGAAATAAGAATTTGGAGTTTGTTCCAACCGTTTTCTCAGATAGCGTAAAACACTATCTAGGGGCACACGCTACTTCGTAAGATGTTTGCCTGTGTGTGTGGTCAGTCACTCTAGTCCTGTAGGACTCTATGGGACCCCATGAACCCTAGCCTGCTGGGCTCCACCATCCATGGAATTTTCCTGGCAAGAATCCCAGGCTGGGTTGCCATGCCCACCTCCAGGGCATTTTCCCCACCCAGGGATCAAACCTATGTCTCCCGAGTCTCCTCTCTCCTAATGCTGGGATAGACTGAAGGCAGTAGGAGAAGGGGACAACAGAGGAAGAGATGGTTGGATGGCATCACCAACTCCATGGACATGAGCCCAGGAGATGGTGAAGGACAGGGAGGCAGGTGTGCTGCAGTCCATGGGGTTGCAAAGAGTCAGACATGACTTAGCGACTGAACAACAAACTGAACCTCTAGTGTTCTCAAACTGATCCGAAAGAAAAGATACTTTTCTTATCAGCTTTCCTTTTTTTAACCTATCAAACATGCTATTTCATATACAGCAGAAACTAACACAAACATGGTAAGGCAATTTTACCCCAAGTTAAATAAACTAAAAAATGTCATTTCACACTCTGTGCTGAAATAAATGTTTAGCAGCAAAGTCAGAGACAGACTTCACTATAAAATGAGCCACTGCAGGACGTGCCTCCTGAAAGCACATCCAGGAGGCACCGCCCTAACTGCACCTCCACCAAAGAGAGAAAACGTTGCCTCTTTTTATGACTTGCTTCAGCTGCCTCTTTAGTTCTGCTGCGTGTTAGCCGAACCAAGGCTCAAGTTACACAGGCTGCCTCTATTGTGGGCAGGTCTCGGGCTGGGCGCTCTTCTTCCCTGCAATGAACTCACATCTGGCCTGGACGCCTTAACCCTGGTGAGCGGTGGCGGAACTGGCCTCCCCGCGGCGCCCAAGAAGCCCCAAGAGCTGGGACCGCACCACGGGGCAGGGTGCCCGAGCCGGGCTCAGCTCCGAGAACAGTCCGAGGACAGTAAGGGTAGCCAAGCTCAACTGGCAATCTCCAAGTCAGTGGTCAGATTGCTGGTCGCTCTGCCACGTTTTTCACGGCGAGGGGTGGGGGTGAGGGGAGCGGTGGTCAACCCTTCACCAGGTTTGCTGGCGGATAAGTAAAGCCGAGGGTACAGAGTGGAAGCTGGACAGCTTCCCCGGCGCCCCAGTGCGTGCAGGACCCCGCGTGCCCAGGACTTGGCGCCCCGCGTCCTCTCCTCCACGTCCCTCCACGTGGAGAGCAAGAGTGTCCAGAGTTGGGTCAATGCCTTCTCCCCCCGCCACCCCCCCGCCCGGCTCCCACACGGGCCGGCTTCTTTCTATTCGCGCTCTCACTGGCTGGGGCTTAGCTGCGACCAAGGCCAAGTCAGGGTCACCTTGGCCCCCTTCCTTTCATTCCAGGGCCCCTGCGAGAGGAGAGGTTAAAGCAGGCCACCGCCGGCCGAGCCCTTCCTCCCGCTCCCTGGCCCCGCCCCTCACACTCTACCGGACCTTCCCCGCTCCTTTCCCTGTAGCGCCCAGGCTCCAGGGAACTCAGCCCCAGCCGGAGTAGAGAGGACTGCGCGGGAAAGAGAGGACGGGGTTCTGGGAGCCGCCCCAGAGAGATCAGGAAAAAATCTCCTCCGCGCTCCTTCTAGATCCCACCCCCGCGACCCTTCCGGAGGCAAGCGCTCGGGCGAGGAGAGTCGCCGGTGCGCATCACACCCCCTTCCTACTTTCTTTCCTTCTCATCCTCACAACGTGTGCAAATGGCCACTGAGCCTATTCTGCAAGTGGGGAGTCTGCGCGCACAAAACTTACTGTCAGCGGCGACCAGCCCTCCGCGGGAGACGGTCAGACTCTGCAGCCACACGCTCAGAGCCAGCAGAAGCAGGGCCTTGCTCTCCATCTCGGGGGATGTCCCTCTGTAGGAGATGCAGGGCACCGGGCACGAGCGCGGACAGACCGGTGGACCCGCTGAGCCCGAGGCGGCAGCAGGCTGGAGCAGCGGTCTGGCGCAGAGCAAGTCACCCTTTAAAGTGGAGGGTGGGGAGCTAGAAGCGGCAGGTTCCCTCGGAGGAGGAGGAGGTGGGGGAGGAGAAAATAAGTCTGACACTGTTTCCACTCCACGGCTGCTTATGTGATTGGAAATATGCAAATAACCCTCATCACCTATTGGCTATAAAATCATAAGTTGGGGGGAGAGTACTAAATTCACTTCCAAATATTTGAGCAAACTATAATGAGATTCAACTTTGCCAGGGAGAAGAAGGGGAAAGGGCAGAAGGAAAAATTTTACTTTCTCTAGGAGGGGAGTTTGCTTTTTGTAAGGGGTCTGGCTTTTATGGGTTCCCTATACAAACACCGAACAAAGGTTTTTATGGCTTTATGTGAAATACTCTGTAATCATCAGTTTTCTAAGGAATGGAAGTTAAGTTGTTAAACTATATTTGGGCAATACCCAACTTCTTTTGATGGCTCCAGTTTGTAATTTGCAGTGTCTGTTTGTTCGTTTGTTTTTTGTCCCCCACCCCCACCCCCAATTCTCCTGGACAATGTCAATCTAAGGACCCATGGACACACATTTTTCTGCAGCTTGAACTTGCACAATCTGGTATTTTAATTTTGTAAAATGGATTGGCTTATGTGGTTGAGAAAAGCCCTCTTGCTCTAGTTTCTAATTTTTGCCTCTTGCAAATTATACTCAATCCTCAAACTCATCAAGAAATGCAAAGTAACATTTTGTCCTCAGAGGCAGAATGTTGAGGCCAGACAGCCTGAAAGTGCATTGTTATGCTAAATGAAAGAAGCCAGTCACAGAAGACGCATATCCTATTATTTCATTTGCATAAAATATCCACTAATAGGCAAACTTTAGGGACAGAGAGTAGATTAATGATTGCCTAGTTCTGGGGACTAGGGGAGGCAGAAGAATGGAGATTATTTTGGAGGGGATGGTGATGAAAATGTTCAAAAATTACATTATGGTGGTGGTTGTACAACTGAGTAAATACACTAAAAACATGGGACTTATACATTTTAAATGGGCGAGCTTTATGGTACATAAATTATATTTTAAACAAAGCTATTAAAAAGATGTGTTCAGATATGCAAGTAAAATAACACGAATAATGAAATCACTTTGGATATTGTATTATTTTTTTTTTGGATAAAGTGCTCAGAATACTTTCAAATGTCTTTTTAAATGTAAAGAATTTGAATTAGCCAGGAGGGACGATTAACTCTATACACTCCACTTTACATCTGAGCAATGGGCTCATAACCCAAACCCTCCAAGTCATTGTCTGTATTGGATTATTTCTCTGAATACTTCTAATGCTTCCTTCTATTCATCCCTCCTTCTTTCATCCCCCTCTCTCACAGACAGACAAACACACACACAAACACAATCTACATTTATATGCTAGACAGATGAAGCCCATACAATTTAAATTGGGCTCACAGTTTAAGCTTTTCTCAAAAACAAAATACTTGATAGTGCTCAAATAGTCAAAGTTTGTTATTCTACAGAATAGAGTTCTATCTGTAAGTGTTAAACGTGTGCTGTGCTCAGTCGTGTCCGGCTCTTTGAGACCCAATGGACTATAGTCCACCAGGCTCCTCTATCCATGGGATTTTTCAGGCATGATTACTGGAGTGGGTTGCCATTCTGTTCTCCAGGGTATCTTCCCCATCCAGGGATTGAACCCAAGTCTCCTGGATCTCCGGCATTGGCAGGGGGATTCTTTACCATTGAGCCACCTGAGAAGCCTCAAGGTATTAAATGCCACAGCACAATTTGTCTTGTATTACAATTATTAAACAGTATATTGTGCACATTCATTCTATCCTACAAAACATGTGAAGGAATTAAATTCCTGTAAGAGCTTTAGAAGTAGCAGAACAGATCAAGCAGTGGATGAACAACTATGACATGGCAGTCTTCTAAAAATTCTATAGTAAGTTCTAACTTGAAAAAAAGATATAAAATGAGTATATTTGCATTGCATTGCTCAAGGTGTAAATAACATATAAACAAAAGTGGAGAAATGTTTGCTATCTTATATAGAATACAAATGAAGCTCATTTTCATCAGAAATATTTGCCAAGACAGCCAAATCAATCTGCACTGCTGTACCTTTCAGAGAACTGCAAAATTTTAAGTATTAATAATAATTGCTAAAGGGAAGTGTGGTGCTTATAATGTATGTTTGAAATGATTTTTCAGGTTAACAGACACAAACTCAAAGCAATCAAGAGTTAGAGTAATTTTTAAAAATATGAAACAGGTTTTGTAGTGGCCTGTATGGTTATACTGCGTGTGCATCAGAGTTGCAGAGATTTCCAGGAAGAATTCACTCCCAGCAGCTCGGCCTGGTAGAAAAGGAGACAGGTTGGCTCTAATCCCTGGAACAAGTGGTGGGCAGGTGGGTGTGGCGCCAAGGCGCTCTCTTGATTGGCTGCCCTCAGAGCATTGGGTGCTGTGTTCTCTAGCACGGGCTCACATGATCTCCAAGTCCAGACTGTCTGTGCGTTAACAAAGTGCCTCGCCCAAACTTAAGCAAGGTTATCTGATCACTGATAGTGTGAGCCTTGACTTTTCCCCCGGAGTGACGTTTCCTTTGTAACAGACATAAAAAGCTTCAGGTTAAAGATACTAAGCTTTTTATAAACCTTTAACAAGCAAGTATAAGGGAGGACATTTGTGGAATAAGCTTAAAACAATGTAAATAAAACGTTAAATGGGCATACCTAAAGAAATGACCAGAAAGCTCCAGAACTCCACATGTAGGAAAGTTTTTTTCTATCTACTTACCTATCTATATATCTATCATTTAAATTAAAGTCCTGTTGTTTGCACACGCTGGGTACGTTTCATCCGTTTTTGCACTTAATCATTTCAAAATTCCTGAACTTAATGACATTCCTGTTGTATGGAGGAGGGAATATGAAACTCAAGAAAGATTAAATAACGGTAACCACAAATCACAAAGTGTTTTGGGTTCTTTGTGTGTGTGTGTGACCCAAAGAAAGAATGAAAATGTATTTGATGTATTATATTTTAATGTTGCTCTATTTGCCAATTACTGTGTTCTCTTGCACAGGCTCACATGATCTCCAAGTCCAGACTGTCTGTGCGTTAACAAAGTGCCTTGCCCAAACTTTGCCCAAACGAAAAAAAGCTGGGAAGCAGATATTTTTTCTACATGTGTGGTTCATTGCAGCTTTTATTTTGTTGCTCCTTTGCTAAATTAATATGATGAAATGTCTAGGTGGACTCTAAAAGAGCATCTGTATTGAAGTGAACCTGGTCTCTATCACCAAAATTATATTTAACCTAGAAAAAAACATGGGTAATACAAATAAAATTTGTAAATTCAAAATTATAAATATTTTAAAAAATTTACTGAAGGAGGAGATGGCAACCCACTCCAGTATTCTTGCTGGGAAAATTTCCCATGGACAGAGGAGCCTGACGGGCTACAATCCATAGGGTCACAAAGAGTCACCGCACAACTGAGCAACTAAGCACGCATGCATGCCTAAAGGATAGAGCATGATGCTAGCCACAACTTAAAATAAGGGAACTGAAAGAAATCAGCAAAAGCAAGAGGAAAGGAACATTTTGAGACACTGAAAGGCAACCCAGAAAAAATATTTAGATCTACTGACCTTAATTAAAACAAAAACAAGATGTTACTAAATATTGCCATAAAAGACTTTCCCATTGCTACCCAACTCTATCCTAGGATTGAATCATAGAGAGGGGGAAACCCAAGCTGCATCTGAACAGAGATGATAATATGACAATAAGGATGAGGATGAGAATGAAGCTGAAGTTATAGCTCTGGAATCTGGGACCTGAGGTTGGAGCAGTTGATAAGTGAAGATACTGGTCTTGTACATCTCTTCTTTCATTCATTACCCAACAAAGCTACCCAAGTAGCTACCTATCCAAGGGAGGATTAATCTCAGACAGATAGAATTAGTTCTTGATTGGTAAAGCTGGGAGTTTTCTTCTCAAAAAGTTAAAGTACAAATAAATATTATATTTTGCCAATTTGCTTTTATCTCCTTCCTCCATCAGGATCAAGTAAAGGGGGCAGGGTTACTTTCTTTGCTTTGGGGACAAAGGAATTGTGAGGTGTAGGGAAAATTGCTTTAGATGATAGAAGTACAGTGTTAAGTAAGTCAGACCCATTTTAAAGATTTCCATTTTATTAGGTTGAAGATATCCATCTCTTCCGCTCTTCCAAACACTTAAGAAAAAAAAAATGAAGAGAAAGGAAAAAAAAATCATGTGCTAATATCAACATTAAAATATTTGTTTAAATACAGTTAAGAGATTTAAAAAAAAATAAGGTTTTTTTCTTTTTTTAAAGAGAATGATTGAAAAAAAAAAGAAAATGCATTGCAGTAGCATCTGCAATGGCATAAACCCCAATAAGGCTTTGGGGTTTCCCATGTGGCACTAGTGGTAAAGAATCCGCCTACCAACGCAGGAGACACAAGAAACTTGGGTTCAGTCCCTGAGTTGGGAAGAAATGGCAACCTACTCCAGCATTCGTGCCTGGAAAATTCCATGGACAGAGAAGCCTGTCAGGCTATAGTCCATGGGCCGCAAAGAGTCAGACATGATTGAGTAACTGAGCACACACATCATACACACATACACACAGTGAGGGGTTGCATCAGAACCTACCACAGACACGAATTCTGCCACAGAGGAACTGCAACAGGTGGAGGGAGAGAAAGATTTAGGTCTTTACTAGAGGACAGCTCATAAAAACGAAAAAGAATGTCACAAACATAATCCATGGATTTATAATCCCTATTTGTTTAAAAGCAGTTTTTATTTTCCAATTTCAAAGAAAAACAAAACCAAAGTTAAAAACCTAAGTCCATGTA